CCCATCTTGATTTATTGTTACAATATAACATTTTAAAAAAAATGTAAAAAATTATTTTCATATTTAGTAAAGATTTATGATATATGTATATATAAGATATACTTTGTGTATGGAACTATGAATGTGCTTGTGTTTTGGTCTGGTTTGGGTGAGGAGAGATTTAAAACCTTTGACATCATAGTTCGTAGTCGCATGCTTTAATCCGTTTGAGCTACCCACTGATGTATTGAAAATGATATCTCGTAACAATGGGAAGACTAAAGAAATTGTTTCTCTTTGCTCCATGAACATAAGACTAATTTGATTGTAAGATATATAGATTCGCTTGTTTAATTAATTTTTTAAATGTTCAACTTTACTTATGACATAAAAAAACTCGTAGTTTATCAACACATTTGATGAAATTCTATGTAAGTTCATTTGTACTAATGTAATAAATTTCTACATCGAACATAATAATACAATAATTAACGTACGTGTTTAAGTCATATCAAATTAACGTTGGGCTAGATATCCCCCCCCACCCCCGCTCTCTCTACATATACACACTCCATTTTCAAGATGGTAGCATGAAAATATTAATTCATGAGCTATTATGTCTATCTTTTTAATTGAATCATTAGTATCAGAGACGATTTGATCGGTTTGACATTTAGGTTCTTATTACTAAAAATGTAACAATTTTAATATTATAGGTTCAAAATTAATTCTCATATAAATTAATTAAAATATCAAAAGTGCTACCAATAACCACTTAGAGAGGTGTTATCTATTTTAGAAAGAACAATAAAACAAGATAAATATAAAATTCAAATTTCTAACCTCACGTAGAGAGGTGCACCCAGTCATCATCGCATTATATGATACTTTGAGTGTGGGTTCACACATCTATATTTCAATAATTTTTAAAAAATACAAAACTAGTATATATGATCTCGAGAGGGGAGCATGAGTTCACGTGAACCCGATGACCCCTTGGATACGCCTCTGATTAGTATTCAAAATCTATTGATCGGACTGGTTCGTATTCATACAAAATATATCAATTACAAGACGTGAAAATACTCCTACTAAGAAATTCTCCATTATTTGTGAACTTCACCATCAAATCCTTGCTAAACGTAAGTCAAATTAATACTTTAAGATAACATAAAACAATTTTTTTTCTAATAATATCAACCTTCTATAGTCAAGATTATTTTCTTTGTATCTATTGGGACATAGAGAGTACCATTCCTCTAGAAAAATAAATAATTAATACTAGCTAAGAAAATTAATTTTTGAATTTTTGATATGTATCAAACATATTTTAGGTGGAATTTATAAAAAATATTTAAGTTTTACTTAGCAATAATCATACGTGTTTAACATTATTTTGTACTAGTGAATTCTTGTGGATCCTGAGCTTCCCGTCCTATGACTCCTATCCAATCTCCTTTTGGATCAAAGCCAAACATGACTCAATAAATATCGATCTTAGCCTCGAATAGATCTTTAAAAGTATGCAAGGATAATATATGTGAAAGTTGAACTCATACATAATGTGTTCATGCATGAAAAAAGAGTAAAACAAATTGAATTCACTCATATGGTAAGAAAAACTCTCATCTCAAATTACTAAACTATAGTCTTTGTGATGTTTAATTTAAAGATTCATATTAATTGAATTTTTAATAACAATTATAACCTGCCAAAGTTAAAGATAATAGGGTTGATAATTGATATCATCAGGAAGCTTCAATTGAGAAATGACCAAAACAATATGAAAGTTTTAGATAACATTTAATATTATCACAAGAAAGTTAAATTAATTCCATCTTCATTCTTTTATATAGTTGTTAATTAGCACTATTGAGTATACTCCTAGTTTTTCCATTTATAAATAGTTAGAGAAAGGGACCACTAAAAGACTAATTAAAAGCACAATCATGAAATATATTTAATGTAATTTCATAAATAAGGTTAAAAAAGAATAGTATGTATACAATTTTATTTTTATCATGTGAATATAAAAAGTTGATTTTGATAAATTCTCAACTAAAAAAACCAATACTTACAATATATTAATATAGTCCCATAAAGTGAAGTATGCGCTTTATGAGGTAGCGAGATTGTTTTTCATAAACGACTCAAATGAAAAGTTTTTGAAGCAAATTTGTAAGAACGATACAAAGGAAACGAAGAAATATATATTAATACATACCGAAAAAAACCCATAAACGATAGTAGGTTAACCCTACATAAAGTGCGACCATACTTGACTACCTACTAACATTTTATCCTAATCTTATTGAAAAGAAAATACAAAAAGTGAAGAAACTATACCCGAAAATAATATAGAAAAGAACAGTAACAACAACAAATAATTCGATACTCAAACAAAGAACACAAGAAGTAATAATAAAATCGAATTCAAAAATAAGAAAAAAAAGTAAAATAAAAAAAAACAAACAAAATGGATGACGTGTCAGCATACACAAGACTCCCGGGTTTTCAACCAAATTATATCCTCTTAAAAATAAATAAATTAAACATATAAAAAAAATATATTGTTTAATATAATTAAAATTAACACTCCAACATTTACGAAAAAATAAACAAAAAACAAAAAAAAGAAACTTCATTACTCTTTTCTCTCTCTTTTTCCATCTTAATAAATTCACAGCTTTCTCTTCCCCAAATTCTCTCTCTCTTCGTTTCCAATCGATTTTTTTTTCCTATTGCTTTCTCTCTCTAAATTTACATACTCATATATATGATAACAATTTATAATTTAGGGTTTTGATTCTCACACTTGACGTATACAGGAACAGCGATTCTCAGGTAATTTTTGATTTTTTTTTGGATTTTTTTGGTGCTTCATACGCTATATAATGACCTAAATTCTCCATAATCTATTGTTACTGCGGAACTTTGTATTTGAGCGGATTTTTCCTAGATCTTAATGCATTTTTTTGTTTATTTTGATATATTTTGATGAGAATTTGTGTGTTTTTATGGATTGTGTAATTTGATCAGGTTGTGATATGTATTTAATCAGTGATTTGGTTGTATTGAAAAAGGAGTGTAATTTGAGGAGATTTGTTATGGAATTGAGTTTAGGGCTAGTTTTGTTTGGTAATGGAGGTGAAATGGGAGATAATGGTGTGATGTTTTGCATTTAGGAATTGGATAATTTTCTGTGGGGAAATGTGTTAAGGGTGTTAGGGTTGGGATAAAGTGGGATTTGAAGATGGAAGATGTTCAGCAGCAAATGCAGCAGAAGCCGGAGAGTACGGGGGATGATGTGCGTTCAGAGTTTGAGAGGGGACTGGAGGAGTTGGTGTGTGGTCACTTGGATGAGTGTATGTCGTATGCTTCGTGTAGTTCAGTGCGTAATACTGAGGATGAGGATGAAGAGTCTGATCAGCTTGTAAGGAGGAGGAGGAGGTCTGACCTTGAAGGTGATGACCTAGCAGAGTCGTCTGCTGCCAGGAGGCGCCACTCGAGGATATTGAGCAGGTGGGCAGCAAGACAGGCTCAAGAGATGATTACTACTATTGAGAGGAGGAACCGTGAGTCTGAGCTGATGGCACTTGCTGGTTTACACACTGTTTCAATGCTTGATTCCTCGTTCTTGAGGGAATCACAATCTCCTACCTCAAGGCGTCAGGGTGGTGATTCTGAGAGAATAAGCACGAGGGCTTCTAATATTTTGCAGATGTGGCGAGAATTGGAGGATGAACATGTGTTGAATCGTGCACGAGAAAGGGTGAGGGAAAGGTTGACACAACGGAGGAGCATGGATTCTAATACCAATGTTTCTAGTGCAAATATGTCGGAAAGCCGGGAAACTGATAACCAAGGTAGCTTGGTGGATGCTAGTGAGAGTGAGAATGAGTATGGTACTTGGTCTCATGATCCAATTGGACCACAGAATGATCATAGAGACCGTGACAACTCCAGCCGTGAACCATCTCCCGATCTAGGGGAAGTTGAGAGGGAGAGGGTGAGGCAAATTGTTCGTGGATGGATGGAGAGTGGGATCAGTGACCATTCATCTAATGTCTCTCAGCCTCAGAGAAATGGTGGTCCAAGAGGGGAATGGCTGGGGGAGACAGAACGTGAAAGGGTGAGAATTGTGCGGGAATGGGTTCAAATGACTAGTCAACAGAGAGGAGCTCGTGGTAGCCAGAGGGAGGAACAGTCCACTAGGCTTAGTTCTCAAGGAGATCGTGCTCGTGAAGGGTCTGTTGTGGACCATGAGGAAGCCCAACCAGAGCACATTCGTAGGGATATGTTGAGGCTGCGTGGGAGGCAGGCTCTACTTGATTTGCTTATGAGAATTGAAAGGGAAAGACAGAGGGAACTTCAGGGTCTGCTAGAGCATCGTGCAGTATCTGATTTTGCTCATCGCAATCGGATTCAGGTTGGTTGCTGATTTTATGCCTTTATTCTTAAGCCAGACTTTTCTTCGTGCTCTTTTCTTGTGTGGCATTCTCAATAGAAATTATGACTAAATGCTCCATGTCCGCTTTGGCTCTAAGTTTTATATCCTTCTACAGTCACTTCTCAGAGGAAGATTCTTGCATGAAAGGCCTGCTGAGGAAGAGAGACCACCTTCAATAGCAGCAAGTGAACTAGTTCAGCTAAGACAACGTAACACCGTCTCAGGGCTGAGGTATGTAATATAGCGTCTTGTTCCCTGGTTTGTTTTTAATATTTTGATCTTTTTGCCTTCATGAAATATGCCCTACTAATTAATTGGACTTCATGTTCATGCATTGTTGGTGTAAATAACATGTAGTAGGTGTGTTTTATGCTGTTGTGCTGTTGGTTGGACTGCCATGGCAAAAAAAGTTAAAGATCAGTCTATTCCTTGGTTATTATGGTGTAAAATAACATGTCGTAGGTGTGTTTTATGCTGTTGTGCAGTTGGTTGGACTGCCATGGCAAAAAAAGTAAAAGATCAGTCTTTTCCTTGGCTATTATGGTGTAAAATAACATGTAGTAGGTGTGTTTTATGCTGTTGTGCAGTTGGTTGGACTGCCATGGCAAAAAAAGTTAAAGATCAGTCTTTTCCTTGGCCATTATGGTGTATCCTAAGTTGTGTGGACTCTTCATTTTTGCTGCCGTACCCATGTCGACATGACACGGGTGCGGGATACGTGTGGGATTTGGTCAACCCACATCGGATACTTTGACCAGAGTCTATGGTCAAATTTGGGGAAAAGAGATTTTGATTTCTCAAAATAAAAGATAAAATAGATTGAAGACATGAGAAATGGCATAGCTTCAAAATTGTAGTCCTTTTGTCTCCTTTTTAGCTTTTCCTCTTGGTCAATATTCGTAGCTTCAAGTTTCAAGCCAGCCAGAGAGAAACTAAGAATTCAAGTGGTTGTGTTGTTACTTCTGGTTGATAGTAGCAACGATCTGTAAGGAGAGTTGGTGGAAGGCCTTGAGTGATTTTCTTTTTCTTTTTTTGAGGGAAGAACTAGAGAGCTTGAAAGAAGAAGGGTTCTTAGGGAAGACAACTTAAAAGTTTGGATTTTTATAGCCAAAGCCCTACACCGTATCTCTACTTGGATCTGGACCCCTGAATCTTAAAATTTAGATTTTGCCAAATATAACGCTCAGATTCGCATTGCCGTGTCGGATACCAGCACTCGAGTCCGAGCAACTTAGGGCGTATCTCTTGCAACTCAAATAGTAAACAACTGCACATTTATCTCTTAGTTGTGAGAAAATCTTCTCCTAAACATCTCTCTTTGTTGCGAAAGAAATCTTCTCATAAGCTCCCCTCTCTCACTAAGATGTGAGAAAATCTTCTGATTTACTAAAATCCCCTTACCATAATTCTTAGAGAAATGATGGTGAAAATTTTGATTCGCTGAAAATGAATGGTGAAATTGGTAAGTTACTGTTTGATCTCATAAATGCAACATTATCATGCTATACTTAAGATGTCTAATCTTACTGAGGCTTCTTTATACCTGTGCTATTGATGGACAAGTGAAGCTGCTGGCCAGTTTTCTGCCGTGTAAACTGAATCTACTAGCATGAGAATTGTTACTCCCTCTGGCCCAATTTATGTGGCTCCTTTTTCCTTTTAGTTTGTCCCCAAAAAAAGGTCACCTTTCTATAATTAGAAGCAATTTAATGTTGCTTTTTAGTTCTCAAAAAATAATTAGAAGCAATTTAACTTTAAAATTCTCCTTTTACCCTGTATGAAATGATTTATAGCCACACAAATATCTAAGATTTGTTTTAGACCACTAGTTTCAAAAGTGTTCCTTTTTTTCCTTAAACTTAGTGCCAAGTCAAATGGTGCTACCAAAATTAGGACGGATGGAGTATTTGAGTACATCTACAACTGAGGTGAACTCAAGTTAGGTTTAAACTGTACACTAGTTGGTATCACATTTAGGGATCCTCTGCTGTCATTGTGTTTGTCAAAATTAGTAGTAAAAAATTGTTGCATTGAACCTTCACTTTGGGAGGTTTCTCTCTTCAAAAGTGCTGTCAAATTGTATCTGTGGTTTCCCCTTTCTATTTTTATGAAGTTTTGGTATCTTTTCTTTGCTATTTTCCCCCTTTTTCTTTATTACTATATGACACCAGGAAGTGAATTGATTTTGATAAACCATAAACTTCACTTTAGTCAATACAGTAAAAAAAGATAAAAGGGAAAAGGAAACTGTTTCTAATTAATGTCCATTTCCTGAAAAAAGGTGGTTACTTTAATGTTTTTTCGTCACTTCCTCTTTTTTTTGTAACTTCCTCTATCTGGACATCAAGTTGGGATGAACGGAGTAGGTGATTGGAGCTGTTTTCGCGTAAAGCGTTTCCCCCTCCTTTTCCCATGTAGCAATAACATATAATTCATTGGTGGAAGGATTTGAAGTTCTTGTCTTTCACACATTAAAAACATCTGAAATGATTTGATATGTGTTTACCATCTGTAAACTGAGTAAAAATATTATTATTAAAAGGACTTTCTGATAACAAATAGAATAAAATAAAAGATAACGTAGCTTCTAGACTTGGCGCGCATGTCTGCTCGGACACCAGTGTCATAAAAAGAAAAGTAGCTTCTGGCCTTTCACCAGTCTCTCACCAAACTAACTTTACAGGAACACTCAAATGTTTTATGGTCTTAGCATGCATGTAAGACTGAATGTTGTCCTGATTATACTGATGTTTAGTTATAATAATATTAACTATTATTATTGGTATTGGTATTGTTGGTGTTGTTGTTAGTGCATGTGGTGATGCTTGTATTGTTGCCTTATTCCATTTCTATAGTTATTTAATTAGCAGATCTGGAAAGTACTACGGGCTTAGAGGAAATTAGCCTCTGTGGAATAAACATTTGAAGTATCCTTATTGTTCTGTCTCACTTACAAGCACTTGATTAGTTACATCTTTGCATGAGATATTTTCTGTTGCGATTGGTGATATTCAGTCCCTAGACCTAATGAGGGACTCTTTCTTACTTCCTTCTCTACTTGTCCATTTAACTAATTTTGATGTCTAGCTCTTTACTCAGTTGGAAATGATAATATTTGTCAGTTTAATTCATGAGTTGGTGATCTTTTTTCTCAACCAGGGAAGGATTCCGCTCCAGATTAGAAAACATTGTACGTGGTCAAGTAAGCAGCAATTCTGAAAATTCATCTAATAGTAGGAACAGTGATTCTAGAAATAATCAGACTCATGCACATCCTTCACAGGAAATCGAGAATGAAAATGGTGAACTAATGCAGACCGGCGAGCTGGAGAGCACTGTGCATCAGTTGCCTGATCGTGGTGAGAATTCTGGTCAGAGTATGAATCAACAACCTCCTCCTAATCAAGGAAGGGATCGAGTGGAAGCTGTTGTTGAAGCTGAGGAAGGAATACAACGTAATTTAACATCAAATGATTCTAATGTATGGACTGATGAGACCACAGAGAATGTAAGCAGGAATTGGCAAGAAAATCCATCAACTGCTAGGTCCCTTGAAACAACAGCGTATGTGGGGAGAGCAGAACATCGTTTCCCAGAAAACCAGGAGGTTTGGCATGAGGATGCCTCACGAGAAGCTGTGGAGTCTTGGTCAGCAGGACCTTCTGATCCTCCACGAATGCGGCGTCCTGTCCCGTTAAGGAGAGTTAGTAGATTCCACCCACCTGATGATGATAATGTGTATAGTATGGAACTTAGAGAGCTTCTTAGCAGGTAAAATTTATTTCTTGATTGAGTTTCAAAAAAAATTATTTCTTGATTGTGTTTTCCCACTCCATGCCTTCCTAGGCATATTTTTGGTCTGTTGTTTATTGGAAGTCTTTGTTGGGTAGGAGGAGTGTTTCCAACCTTCTTCGCAGTGGTTTCCGTGAAAGTTTAGATCAATTAATTCAGTCATATGTGGAAAGGCAAGGCCGCTCTCCTATTGATTGGGATCTGCATCGGAACTTGCCTATTCCTGCTTCACCTGAAATGGGTCCGGATCAGCAGAATGATGAGCAAAATGATGATCAGCAGGATGGAGTTGGCCGGCCTTCAATTGTGCTACCCTCTCCTCCTGTGCCACCACCCCAGCCTCTTTGGCATCAGGATTTGCATCACTCAAGTTGGCCACGTCATGCAGTGCATCGTTCTGAACTTGTAAGTCACCTGCTTCATCCTGCTTATCAAAAAAGCAAAAAAAAAGAAGATATTGCTTCGTTCTTGGAGTTATATGCTTCCATTCAGAAGGTATTGATCTTGATACCTAATGCGTGTAGTTTAGTAAGAAGACTTGGGTCTAACACGTACGAAAAGTGAAAAACTACTCTGGGTATATTCTTTACTGACGGGTGATTGGTGCCATGATCTTTTGCACTATCTTTTCTGGTCCTCTTTATTTTACCAAGTTTTCAGAAATCAGCAATCTGTGCTTACCAGTATCAAAAAGGAAATCCTGTTTAAGTTTATGTATGTTGCCAATGAGAAAAGCAGATGATATTCTGATCAAGCCAGGCGATTGATAATGGTTTCAAATTCTCACTTTTTTTTTCTAACAATATACAACAATTAAAATTAGGTTACACTTGCTCTTTAGCAACTAGTGATAGTGAAGCAACATGTTCCAAGATCTTTTGAACCATCATTTCCAATTCTGATGATCTTCCTAATTTTTCACAATTCTGGTAGTCTTTACCTGTATTAGAAAAGAGAATGCATCTTGGTTGGTGCTTGTCGTGAATAAGAAGAGATTTTGTTCTGTTTAAGCCAGACAATTGGCAATTGTTTTAAATTATTTTAAATTATTAAGTTTGTATGGCACAATCTACATCTTTTATAAAAATACAAAAGTCGTATGTCACTGTATTATGAGCTTACTTTGTGCTGTTCTGGAGCAGGAGTGGGAAATGATTAATGAACTTAGATCAGACATGGCAAGACTGCAGCAAGGCATGAACCACATGCAAAGAATGTTAGAATCCTGCATGGATATGCAACTGGAGCTACAACGCTCTGTCAGGCAGGAAGTTTCAGCTGCTTTGAATCGATCAGCTGGTGGTCAAGGTATGTTAGTCAACCTATGGTGTTATGTCGAACATCTCCTAACCTCCTGTTTTACCACACCACTTTTTTTTCCATCTAATTCGGTTTGGAATGCAAATGTAAACCAGGGGCTGCAGAGACCTCAGTCGATGGTTCTAAGTGGGGCAACGTGAAAAAGGGTACTTGCTGTGTTTGTTGTGATAGTCACATCGATTCCTTGTTGTACAGGTAAGAGTCATATTTTGCAATCTAATGAATCTCAACTGGATTCAACTTATATATACCCGATAGTTTATAGAATTTTCCATTATTAGTGTACTTAACCTATTTTATCAGTGACCTGCCTTTTTCGCCCAGGCTACTAATCCCACGACCTTTTTATGGATAGTGATCTAATGATGTAAACACACAGTATATAGTTAGAGTAACAAAATATTTTGTTCAAGATCACGTCAATAGTTTAAATGAGTCGTTTGTTTTATGCAATTGGCAGATGTGGGCACATGTGCACTTGTTCAAAATGTGCAAATGAATTGGTGAGAGGTGGAGGAAAGTGTCCATTGTGTCGCGCACCCATTGTTGAGGTGATCCGAGCTTACTCAATACTGTAAAAAAGACGAAAGGGATAGGATGGTAAAGACAGAAGGTTGGTAAGGTGTAAGAGGAGTTGTAATGCTCCCTCTACCAAGCTTCTCAGATTCTTATTATTCTGTAGAGTGTTTATTTACTTTTGCCTATGTTCTTCTAATTGTATATGGAATGCTATGCAATGTGTAATTGGAAAAACGAAAGGCACTTTTTTGCATCATTCATTCGTAAATAAAATTGTTAAATTCTTTTGCATTTTGATTCTTTTTATTTACCATTGATTTTAGAAGAAAGAGGAGTACGTTATAGTTTCTATCGTCATTTCATGAGACAAAATTTTATTGAAGCAGAGTTACAATAATAACATAACCAGTGTAATTCCACAAAGTGAGGTTTGATAATGATAAAGATGTACATTATTATCTTTGTATTGGTTGGGAGACTGTTTTTTGATTGACTATCGGTTCAATAGAGAAGCACCTGACGTAGGATTGCAAAAAAATAAAGAAAGAAGGAAAAATTACATAGATACACAATTTAAGATATTATAATTTCTAAAACTTCTTACCATTTAAAAAAATTACAAAAATTTCCTCTCGGATACATCTCTATCTCCTTTGGGACACATCCATCCCTTCTTGGATACATTCCTATCCTTCTTGGATTTACCCCTCCCATTAAGTAATGTATCGGACATCCAAAGAATATATTTGAGAGTAATGAAAAAAGTAAACATGACAACAAAATTGCAAGACGCAACTAATGAAACAACAAACAGTATTATTTTTTTAAAAAAAAAAGCACTCCCAGATTATTAAATTGTACTACTAAAAGTAGAGATTGATCAGAATTATGACTTCTTTTTGGGGAAAAAATGGACTGAAAATTGTGCCCGTAAGTTTGTGTAAATTTTGAAATACCAAGATGTTAGATGTGTGACATCCAAAACAAAAAAGACCCATAATCACAAATTGATACTCCGTATGTGATTGACTTGTGAGCTCATATAAGTAAATTTGTGCCACATCGAAACATAGAAAAGGATTTAAGGCGTATATATAGTTAGGCACAACAAATTGATGTTGTGTTAGTAGAAAGGAGAGATGGTTGGCATCTCCGATTAAGGCTTCCTACTTTGGTCGATCTTACCCCATTTTTTTCATTACGATTCGATTAAACTTTTTTTGTTTTATTGATTAAACCATTATTGAAATTCAAATAATTGTTAAACGAATGTTATGTACAATCCAATAGCATAAAGTACTTCTTTAAAAAAAATTAAAAGATCAGGACCACATAACATAAAACATAATCTTCTCTTCAATAGCATAAATTACAAAATCGTTTCGAACCATTTAACCGGAACATATTAGACTGGTTCTTTTTGTCTTTCTTTGTTACCTCAGTGCAGTTAAGGGTCGTTTGACAGTAAAGAGATAACTTCATGTATTAATTAATATATAAAATTTATACGACATTTAGTTTGCAATTTTAGAACCCGCAGAGAATTTATGTATTATCTTATGCGGAGTAGAAGATGGAATAACTAATACCTGCATAATTCTAAGCAGCTACTAAACGATCCCTTTAGCTGTTCTGGGAAAGTAAACTAGAATTATAACCAAGATGAGAAAAGCAGAATTCAGAATAAAGAAAAATATTTATAAGAAAAAGGAAAGAAGGAAAAAAAAAATTTACTCTAAAAATTTATTGCTTAATTTGTAGGATGCATCTGAATAATTACCTAGACCAATCATGTACAACAATGGCAGAAATGAACTTCTTGTACTCTGCTAAATGACTCCTTCACCAAAGAGGATCACAAACTACCTATACATTTGCTACTCTATTGGCGATTGTCACATTTTTAAATTATCGTATACTGGGGTCTGTTCAACGAAAATGACCCCAACACTTTTTCAACATTTTATTTCTACAATTCTTTCATTGAATGAGCTGTGTATGAAAATAGTGTACCGGAGAAAAAATGTCACATATCAGCACCAGTTTACCAGAAAGAGGAAAGGCTACGGTATCCTGTAGCTGTCTTCTGATCATGTATGGATTTCAAGGTCATTATGAGTTGCTCGCGCTGATCCTCCACTTCTGCATATTTAAGACTTATGTTCAGGTACCGGTCACGAATTTCTTGTAGTTCAGATTCAAGCTGAGATACTTTTTGCATATTATCGTCTCTTCCTTTGGATGACAAACTGAAGATACAAAGATGTGGATTGATTAGATTACAATAGTAAGTTGATCATACATACTTTTAGTCGATAATGCAGATAAGTATTTCTGAATCTACAGAATAAAACAAGCACATAGAGGAGATTTCCTTGACCAATATATATACTTCTCAGAGGCGAAGCTACAATTTTTGAGTTATAAGTTGTAGATTCTACAAAAGGTAGCTTATTGGGTTCTGGATAAACTATTTATACATATTAATGGATTTTAAACAAAAATACAAGTCTGGGCCAAAGGTTATTGGGTTCTGGTTAACACGTAAGCAGAACTGTAGCTCCGTCCATGATTTTCTTATTCTATCCTTAGAAAGGTATCGTTAAGGATTGTCAACTCAAGTGGTAGTTAAACCAGTTTCCAGTTGATAAAGCCGATTTGTCAGCTATAATTGGTTAACAGTTTTCGAAAGAATGGTCAGACTAGATGGATTTTACCAGTAGCAGAGTAAGATCATAAGACATAAACATCATGAGAAACACAAACAAAGCTCAGGAAACAAAACAATTATTTTTTATATTGGCTTACCTAATTAGATGGGATTCATCATGGATATAATTGCTGTCTAAAGTCTGAGCTACTGTATCGCCCGGAAATTGGTTCGCTGATACACTTTTGGCAAGAGTCCCTTGAAAATCTCTGTAGTAATTGCTTTCTTTGTTTCCATCCTAGATAGATATGGGGGAATGTCATGAGGTTAATAAAGATAAGGAAATTATATTAATTTTATTTTCCCTGAAATGGAAGTAATCAGTAAATATTACACACTGAGGAACACAAAGAAATGAAGATAGTTTTAGTACGACGTACCAGTTGAAAGTTGCCTTGAATCTTCTGAACTTTCAAGTATTTCTCTGATTGAAGAGATTGAGTAATTATCTCATGCTGATGCTTGCTGAAGTTCTCTTCCTCTACCTGTTTTTTCAGAAAACTAAACAAAAATCAGATTCATCGCCTACTGTATCATTGATTACAAGCTATATATAAGAGAAGTGGCATGGTTGACCTCTGAAAACTTCAGCTCATCTAGAGTAGGAATGGTATCATCATCCTCTCTTTGGTTGTCTGGTCGTTTTTTCGACAATTTTTCCTCGAGGGATGTGACTTGCTTCAAGCAGTTCTCTTTCTCGAATTGAAGGGATTTTATTTGCCACAGAAGTTGGCTATTTGCTCTTCTAAGCTGGCAAAGCTCATTTTTCAGCTCGGAAACTTTGGTACACATTACTTCTTTTGCAGTTAAGTCTCCTTCCAGCCTCAGAACTTTCTCCTCTAGTGCAATTGTCTTGTATTTGCATTTTTCTGCTTCCGCCACTTCCTTCTGCATGCAGGTGATTTCCTGAAGTAATGATGCCTTCTCTTCCTTCAACTCTTCACAATCTCCATATTTCAACAACAGTGTAACTTGTGTTCTCTCACTTTCAAACTTCATCCCAGATAGTGCTTCTTTAAGATACAAAACTTCCTCCTGAAGTAATGGTAATGTATGCAGTTGAATCTTTAGGCTAGAATTCTCTTCAGTCATTTGCAGCATTTGACATTCAGAAGACAGTAGTTTTGACTCAAGCTCATTAATGGTGCATTTAAGCTTTGCTTCACTGGATACAAGATGTTCCATCATCCTCAGTAGCTTATCACAATTAGCTGCCAAAGTTCCCTCCTTGGCTTTGGAAGTACCAAGTTCACTCATAAGATCTGACATCTCTACCATCAGGGATTGTACCTGTTCTTGCAACTTTTCGACTTCAACTGTGTTCTCCGGAGACATTTCACGCAGAGTGCACCCTTCTACAAGAAATTTTTCTCCATGCTCTTTAGTCTGTAGGTGGAGATCGTCAAGTTTGAACTTAAGGATCTTCTCTTTTGATTCAATCTCTTCCATCACTGAAGAAAAGTTAGCTTCTAAAGACTCTATCCTTTTCAAACAGGTGGAGAAAGAATGCTGAGATTTCCTCAATTCTGCTTCCAAAACATTATGGCTCACATGTAATTTTAATTTTTGTTGCCTTAGTTCTGCATTCAAGTTTTGAAGCAAACAACACTCTTCCATAAGACTTTCTGTTGTTGCTTGGAGCTTTGGATTTACTTTCTTCAGATACTCGCACTCTTCTTGAGCATCTAACCATCGCTTTTGCATCTCCATCAACTGTTCTTTCATATCGAGCTTTTGTGACTCCTTTTGATGTTCTAATTTTCTAATCTTGCTCTCAAGGCTCACAACACGATTACCAGAATGCTGCAGTTCCAAACGATTGAATTCCATTGCATCAGTCAAATGCCTTAGTTGAGCTTCCAATCCTGATACTCGTTCTGACAGATCTACATTTTCTTTTTCTAATTCATGCAAATTAAGTTCTAACTCATACTTATCACTCTCTAGCTCTAATGATTTCATTTCGTACGTCATTTTAGAGACTCCTCCACAAATACATTGATCAAGAAACATCAAACCATTTGCGGAAGTGTCTAAAGAATTGGAGGTGGCACTAAGTTCTTGTTGCATGTTTTCTATTCTCTCCTCCATCAGACATTTACTCATCTGGAGATCAGAGATTTGAGTACTCAAATCAGTCTGCTGATGCCTTAGCGCTTCGATCTTTACATCCTTTTTCAAACATTTTGTCTTCAGCTCCAGTATCTCCGAGTTCTTAGCTAAACTATCACTACTTAAATTTTGAATCTTGCCCTCTAGCACCTTATTTAAATCCTCAAGCCTTTCACAGCAAGAACAAGGAGTATTTTCCTTTGGAAGGTCATCCTTTTCCTCATCTTGAACTTCACATGCATCCTTTAATGTTGTTTTGGGTTCATCCTCGATATGTTGACTACCATCAAGATATAGAGCCAACCTGTACCTCAATAACTGGAAATTTTTCAACACTGCATTAGCTTGCTCGTCCTTAGCGGGATGACCTGTACATTCACAAAAATCTAAATTACATATAGCATTTTAAAACTCAGTGTTTATAAGTGAAAGGAGGACATTTTGTCTTGTACCCTGTTGCACAAGAAACATGCTAGATACTTACATAATGTGTTGAGTAGGGTATAGATATCTTCAATATGTCCTGACTCGGAACTCTGAAATATTATGGGTACATTTTTATGAGTGAAACGATCTTGACAATCTCCTTCCTGCTGACATTCAGATGGCATTGCAGCAACCTCAGTTCTCTGATCTTGTTCTTGTACTTCAACGCAACATGAGTTGATTTCAGCATTTGGCCTCAAAGCATTGTCCCTAACTAGTGAGTGAAACTCCAGAGCTAAGTTTTCTTCCTGATCACAGGTTTTCTGCTTACTTTCAGAACCCTTTGATTTCAGTTTGTACAGAAGTTCCAGGTTTTCTTCGGTCAGCTCCTTGCAATCTCTCTCAAGTTCCTGGAGTCTTTCCTTGAGAGTCTCATTTTCCTTGATCAGATCACAGTCAGCTTCAGCTTTGATCTCACTTGTCTTGGAGTCCTCGGCACTTAAAAGTCTGGATAACTCTGCCTTCAAATAAGTAATTTCCTCTTCTTGTTCTCTTGACCTATTTTTCCATTTTTCTTCACAATCTATAAGAGCCTGAGTCCTGTGATCTCGTTCAAGTTCAATCTCATGAGTTTTCTCCCTGATGATTTTCTCCAGATGGAGAGTGGTGTTTTCCAGATTTTTCTGTGATTCTTGCAACTGTTGAAGCTTGTCCTCTAGGTTCTGTTGGTTCTCAGAATTCGACTTTACTTCTAAAAGGTTCTTAATCTCCAATTTCTGCTTTTCAACAGTTTCTTCCATCTCCTGCAGAATAGAGACTAGTTGAATATTTGATTCTTGAGTTTTACTTAGCTGGAAAGACATATCGTCATTTGATTCTTTTTGAATCCTAAGTTCCTCTTTTAAAATCTTTTCAACACTATCCTTATCTCTGACTCGGAGCATTAAACTCTCAGTTGATTTTTCCTTTTCCATGGATTCTTGTAAAAGGATCTCAAGGTGTCTGATTTCTTGCATCGATCCATCACGTTCTGTACCCAATGAACAAAGCTCCATCTTAAGGTTTTCTATCTGCTGTGACTGGTCAGCAAACTCCTTCCTTGACATTTCCAAGTCAGTCTTTAAGCTTTGAGCATTTTGTTCCCACATCATGGCCTCTGCAATTAGTTCTTTACTGATAGTATCTTTGGCTTGTAAGGAGTTTCTAGAGGAAGCAGAAAGTTGCACTGATGCGGTGTTATCATGTGAGAACTGTTTGAAATCATCTTTTTGATTTTGAGCATTCTTTCCTGATCCTGAGATCATTAAATTATAGGGAGAGTTGTACGATTTGGGTGATTCACAAAAAGAGTAAGAACCACAGGATGCACTACTCCTGGAATCAATTGATTCTTGTCTACCAATTATGAGGTTACCATGCCTATTTGAGTCACTTTGGGATGAAAAGCTTTCTCTGCCCAATGAATCCTCTGTAGAGGCAAAGCTATGATATGAACTCAGCCGTGGGAGGCTTCTTTCCTGTTGGGAAAGCATAATCTAGCTTAAATTCTAGAGGAAGCTAGAGAAGATAAAGTAACAAAATAAATGCACCATTGATACTAGTAAAATAAGATCTCTAAGAGAAGACATGCGTTGATAATAATGAGAAATATACTTCAACTTCCGATATTTGAGCGTATATATGCATCCGGTGATTTCAGTTATTCAAGTTGTTTGGTCTATATCTATGATTTTATAGTTACTTGGCTTTCTTGTAATGTCCCTTAATTTTAAAAATTTGCAGTTTGTATGTCTGTCTGTGTCCATGTCCCACGCCATGTCTAAACTACTAAAGCTGCATTCAAGAATGAGATCCAGGCAATATTGCAGCCACTTTCCAGCCTTTTAAATATAATAATTATGGACCTTTTTATCTGGATGGTTCTAGATTGACTACCGACTGAAAGCGTTAGATCAAAACTCAAACTTGGCCAACACTGAAGATGAAGACAGGACATATAAATCTATAATTCTATTAATCATTTTCCATTTAAAGCCTAGTATTCTATTATTTGCATTTTAATTGTGAACTAAAAAGCGAAAATGGATATCCAAACTTTAAGTACAGTACTAGTTCTAATTGGGTGAATAATCAAATATTTGGATAATAGTTCAAAAACAAGATTTTTCTCATATAATATCCTAATGAATATCAACAGATGCATAAACCTTTCTGACTAGATAGTTAGATACCTCTGATTTCATTTCCATGTTATTGTATTCCATGTTCTCTTCTTCAGCATAGAAGGGCATGTCTTTGGATTCATTATCCCTACGATTTCAAATTGATTCTTTTTACTATGGATAGAGAAAAAAAAAAGAAGAAACAGAAATGTTGAAAACTAAGGAAGAAGTTGTTGTGTTCTAGAGACAAACCTGATTGATGTCAAACACTTGATCTCCAGCTGCAGAAACATAAGAAATTGAATCAGTAATAGTAGGTAAGTAAAAAAGCTGAGATTATTATGTACTCAGGTGTGCTTTAGGTAACATGTTCCTGAATGAAATATAGGCCAAGAACCTAAGGGAGTTGGCTGAAAATCTTCAACAAGGACCTCAGGCATTCAGGATGGGATCAACATTAAGATGCTCCAAATTATGAGTAATTTATTGCATTTGAGATGAAAGAAGTTAAAGCTGGAAATTTTTTATTCAAGTAAATCAAATTTGTTCAATTCTATTGCTTTCTTTAATCTTCACATATTTAATATGAAATCCCTAATTCTAAAAACATATTCAGTTTCACATTAAAAAGTAAGTAAAAATAGCATACAAGCATGCAAAGTTATGTGGCTCTCAAATTCTTATGAGCAAAGTAAGATGACAAAACAAGTATTCTTTCAGTATATAACTTGTAGAATTACATGGATACTATTGAACGGAAAACAAATTAAATTCTATTACTGAGAAGCAAACCTAAAACTTGAGAATTATTGAGCACAAATGAAAAGAAAATCTTTCTAAAGGGGATTACTAAGATCTGAGAAGCTAGTTGATACACAGAGTTCGTCATCTAAGCTCATATTAATAGCAGTGATTGATTCATTCGTTAAAAAATTAGGTTATTTGTTCCAGGTAAAGCAACAGAAAAGAACAAAAAAGAAGTTTCTTTGCACTTGAGTAACGGAAGATGAACTTGTTTATTGCAAAAGAAGCATAGAATCTTGGAGAAATATGATATGGTGGGTCTACAAAGAGTAATTCCTGAACATGTTGAATTAAAATGAAGGAAAGAAATGGTAATCATAGGATATACTAGATAATGTTTTGCATTTTAAAGTGCAAACATCAAACTTGAAAGTATTAGAAGAGGTCTCACTTGTAGAACTGTGCCATGGTTACATTTTTTCAAAGGTAAGGAAACTGGAGTAAAAGCTTTTGCATCCCTGAAGCGAGCAAGATTTACAGAAGCCTCTCCGAGAATGCTAGATCTTGCAGATCCCTGAAACAGAAAACTGATAACGTTATAAACATGAAAACTAAGAGCCAAGTATAGCAAATTCAGTAAGCTTAAAGCTTATTGAACCGATAACTTCAACCGATAGAAATATAGGAAGGTGTCTGACCATTGTTACAATAAACTTAAGAGGGAATTGCTCTTGGTTGTTTGAAATATCATCTGGGGTAATCCACATGGACTGTGACCATGTTTCTGTCCATTTGCAATTACCATTTCGTACTGAGGCTTTCCCTGATTTGCTGACTGTTTTCCCTGTTTCCACAGAGATAAGAGAGAGGGAAAGTTTGTCCCATCCTTTAGGTACCTGAGGGAAGTAAACCCATAGAAAGTCTCATAAACTGAAATTGGACGTAAAGTTTCAGTCAAGATGATGATAGCGAGGCCATTGAGACGTCAATGTTAGATGATTAGTCTTTGAATTCTATCTAACAAGTAAAAGAAATATAGACATCGTTAAAAATGTTCCATAGATATAAGCAGTTTGAGAAAAGGATTTTGTAGCTAGTCATTATCTTAAGAGTATCTGTTCAGTCACAAATACTGAAAGCAGGGTAAGAAATTCACCATGTTAAACATTACAAATTTACAAGAACAACGATTGGATCTTTTGAAACATTTAATGAGGTAACAACAACATATCCAGCGTAATCCTACAAGTGGGATGTGGGGAGGGAAGAGTGTACACAGTCCTTACCTCCGAGGTAGACAGGCTGTTTCCGACAGAACCTCAGCAAGAAATGAGGCAAGAAGTGAAAATCCAAGGGAAAATAGAGTCTATAGCAGTTAATAAGCGAATATGTAAAGACGAGACAAGACGGTGTATATGGTACTAATTTGACCTAAATTTTTTAAGGCTGTTTCCTTTATGAGTTATTCATTTCCTACATTGTCCAACATTATTATATCCCTGAAATATTTATGTGTTATTTAAATATATTTCCTTGTGTACTGTCAATTAAAGCTATTATGATCTATTTTTCTGTTTTGCACTTTTGAATTCAGGTACTAACCCTTCCGTGCACCTCCGTATGTGTCATTTATTCATACCATTGTACATATGGCTTATACTGCAACGTGGTTCCTAGTTCAATCGTTTATTACTAATAATACCAGAGTAACAGACTGGTTACATCAATTCTGGAGCATTTGCCATTCCATTGTTTCCAAGAAAATATGTTTTTCTGGTGTTTCTTTCTCTGTCTCCTGCCAACTATGAAGAGAACCGTAATCCTTTTTTCATGTAATTTAGGAGAAAAAATGCCTCAGATGTCTGCATGGCAGCTAATGGCTTTTAACAAATTTCATTTTCACATTTACCGCGACTAAGGAAAAAAAGAAACTAATGGACAACGGACAACCAGGTTCACAGCCCATGCATACATGATACATCACACAACTGCCACTCAGAACCTCTGTTAGTGCTTACTCATCTTCCAGAATCAACTGCTGAACAAAAGCAATTGAATGTTTCATTAGTAGATTGACCTACTTCGATTAGTTCAGCCACCTGGTTGTATGCAGCTAATAGTTTGCTGATTGTTGTTTTGAAATTAGATTTGTCATATTCAGAAGTTTGCTTAACATCTCACTCTAGTCCAACTATAGTCTTGCAGTTATTTTGATCATTTCTATTGCATAAGTAGGCACGGATAACTATAACTTACACTCATCTCCCTATTTCCCATGTTAAATACCACAACATTCAGTGTCAGACCCACAAATTGGTCATATCCAGTGACCCCTCTAAATTTTGGAAAAGCCCATTTCGTATTATTTTAATACTTGTGAAACCCGCAATAAGGAACGCAAAGTGGACACTTAATGAAGATTTCTTATGCATTTTCTATAGCACAATTCCCCTATTTGGAATATCATAAGTTTTGGTTCACTTTTCAGTAAAAAATTTCAGTATAATTTCGATGAATCAACAAAGTTATGCTATCTAATAGCTTTCCGTGACTTGGAACAATAACAAAAGACTTGTACAATAAAATATTGCAGAAGAAGATAAATTCCAGCCTATCCAACAGATAGGTCCAAATAAAAACACATGTTACAGAAAAAGTATTAGAATAAACTGCACATGCACTTATGCTCTCCTTTATCAACACACTCTGCCAAAATAACATTTAGCTGAAACGGTAACTTACACACAGAATCAAACACGAATAAGAACAATCCAAATATATCACACAACATTGATTTAATTGCTTCAACTTTTTTGTTCTTCTAAAAATCACAAATTATCGCATAAATTCCCAACTCTACCGGGTGCGTAAACAGTAAACCAATTAAACAGCAGGAAAAATCAGTATCAAAGAGCTAATTGCACGTTCTAAAATTCATATCAAGCTGTAAATTATACTTCGAAATACTCAAAACACACATATAGAAACACACAGAGAATTACATTGTTTTATTTGCTTCAAAACTTATAAAAGCATGTAAATAGTTAACCAATTATAAAAGCAAAAAACAGAAGAAATTATCAGTATGAAGAGCTAATTGCACATTCTATAATCCGTACTTAAGCTGTAAATTAACCCTCGAGATACTCACAGTCACAATACCAGTCTCTCTCTCACACACACATTGATTAATTTGCTTTAAAACACAAATTATTGCAGAATTACCCAACTCTATCGACTATATCAGGCATGTAACTAGTAATAAACCAATTAAACAGCAGGAAAAAAAATCAGTTTCATGAGCTAATTGCACATTCAATAATCCGTACTTAAACTGTAAATTATACCTCGAGATACTCCTAATACACGCACATTGATAAATTTGCTTGAAAAACTCACATTATTCAAAAAATTCCAAACTCTATCAGGAATCTAAATAGTAAACCAATCGAACAACATAATACACAGTTCTATAATTCGTATTCGTACTATTAAGCTGTAAATTACACTTCGAAATACTCAAAATACAAACAGAGATAGATAGATAGATAGAGATAAACCTGTCGAGCTTGTAGGTTGGAGAAGGAGAAGTCAAATCGATGTCCTGATTTTTCCAAAAAAGAAGACGACGACTTGTGCCGGTGATGCAATTTCAAAATTTTATCTCTGATCATCATCTCAGAGTAATAATTATGCAAAATGCAGATAACTAGAGCTTGAAAATATCAATGGAGATGGAGAGAGAAGTTGTGTGCTATATAGAAAAAGTGAAAGTGAAAATGGAGTGGATAACTGAATTTGTGTGTGTAGCTAGAGCGCACTAGTGGTGGGTTTAGCTATATTCGCTACCTGTCTTTTTTTTTTTTCAATATTGGAGTTGGTTGCAAATTGTGTGTGAGCTAATTGTCCTTTACTGCAGTGCAGATTCCTTTTTTTGTTGTATAAAGTTTTCTTCTTCCTTTTTTGTTTTCACTGGGTGGCACATGTTTTTTCATAAACAGTAAAAGTTACTGGGGTACTCTTTGTTTCTTCTCAATTCTGTGTACCGTATAGGTATTAAAGTCCGATTAATTTAGATTCGCATTGTGAAATGCTTATTTTGGAGCAGTGCTTGTAGACATTAAAAATTAACGTGTTTAATTCTAGAAGGACTCTATAAAATGTATTTGATTTTAATTGGAATTCTTGGAGACTTACTCTAATCTTAAATCTTATTTTCATAAAGAGATTAAATTCAAATCATTCAAGTTCGAATATATGTATCTAACGGCCCTCGAATCACAAAGAAATTCAAATCATCCCTAATTTGAAAAATACGTCACTACAACCCTTGAATCTATTTTACGAGAGAAGAAACAAGGGTGAAATCATGAATAAATCTTATGAGAAAAGAATGATTTGAAGGAATAGATTTGTACCGATATTATTTATCAATAAAATATTCATGTTTTTTCATATTTTTTTGTGATGGTAATTTATTTCCTGTTACTTTTGAAATTTGTAGTAAACAGTGCGATCTACTAAATTTTTTATTATTCATATTTATGATTTGAGATCTAAACCTCTAAAATTCAGTAACTGGACAACAAGTATTTGAATTAACCAATTGTAATACTAAATTCATAAAATTGAGTTCTTGTAACAGTAACTTTTAAGTTAAAGTAACTTTTAAATACTTTTGCAGTATTCGAATAACTTTAAAAAGTGCTATAAACACTTGATTTTAAACAAAGATAATAAAATAACTCAAAAATAAAAAATGAAAAGTCAATCCATATTCGACGAGAGGGAGTTGCTCGGATGGTAAACACCCCTCACTTCCAATCTGAAGGTTGCGAGTTCGAGTCACCAAGAGAGCAAAAGGAGTGAGAGCTCCTACGGAGAAATAAAAAAAAAAGTCAATCCATATTCCAAATAAGTAATTTACTTATCCAAACAAAAAATACAAATCACTCAAAAATCAAATTTCTGGCTTGAAAATGACACGTCATCGCCAGAATATCAATTTGTCACTGTATACATGCCACGTGAGAAAATTACTGTAAAAGATAAAATATACATTATGAAAATTTGACTTTCTTAAAAAAAAGGTTTTTCTCACGTGGCATTTAGTTAAGTTATTTTATCGTTGTAAAAACTAGTTTTATGACTTTAATGTTTGAAATGCATTTTTTGAATAGAAAAAAGCGTAAATTTAATAATTGCCTGTATAAATTAATCCGTATTTATTTAAAATCTGATTTATTCAAATTCGATAGAAAAAAATCTCACTTTAAAAAATAAAACTACTCAAACGTTTGACCTAACTTTTAAATTTAGGATTGTAGTTAACAATAACTACAACATCCCTGTCATTGTACCCTTCTGTCTAGGACATATTTGGATAGAACTCGGACCACATGACTTAACAACAAAACAGGCCATGTTTCACCGACAAGGGGTGTAGTGGATTGGTAAGTATTCCTTCATTTTTAACTAAAGGTCTCGGGCTGAGTCTCTTTGGTACAAAGTCACTTTTGTTAGAGAGCGTTTTACCCCAATATAGGATTTTTCGGCGTGAATCCGGATTTAGTCAGACTCTAATGTGAGTACCGGACATTGAGTGAGAAACAAAAAAAAAAATACAAATCTGAATTTAATCGGACTCCAATGTGAATATCGAATACTTGGCGGAAAATCAAAAAAGAAAGAAAGAAAGAAGGCCATGTTTTACTAATTAAGATTGACCGTTGTGCCGAGATTATATATATAGAGCTAACATTTTTAGTTTATGAGCTCTATCAATTAAGGATAACTCGGAGAGCATAAAGTATTGCATGTTAACAGGATTGGGAGAAGGGCCACATTCCAAGGAGGAGTAGTATGACGTAGACAATCCATCAGAATGTCAATATTAGTGACTGTTTCCACAGCTCGAATTCATAATCTATAGATCACACAAAGACAACAAAAAAAAGAAGAAGAAAGAGGCCATGTTTCACCAATTAATGCGGCGAGATTATATAGAGCTAATATTTTGAGTTTATGAATTATGTATCATTAAGGATATATAACTTGGAGCATAAAGTATTTTCATGTTAGCAGGATTTAAGGAAGGGCATACATCCAAAGGAGTATGATGTAGACCAGTGGCGGATCCAGGATTTAGAGTCTGTGGGTGCCAAATAGACTTATCGATTAAATTAATTTTATATTTGATTAAATTATTCCTCTTTTCGATATAAATTAATTTTAGTTCTCTAATTTTTCTTAAAAGAACGTGTGCAACAATTTCCTTTTTCTTCAAAAAACGTATGCAGCAAATTTCTCAAAAAAATAGGTACAAATGGGATTCAAACCCGCGACATCAGCCTTCTAAAGTTACCCTCCTACCATGGCACCACAAGCCAATTTTGTTCTCTGGGTGGCACGCTTTATATTTATATAAATATTATATATATATATATACCTATGTATATATAGAGTTTCCGCCGAAGTTCGGGGGTGGCGTGGCACCCCCACACCCCTTAATAGATCCGCCCCTGATGTAGACAGTCTATCCTAATGTCAATATTAGTGACTGCTTTCACGACTTGAATCCGTAATCTATAAATTACACAAAGACAACTTTATTATTGCTCCAAGATGTCCCTACCCATATGGTACCTAGTTCTCATGATAACTAGAAATGTCAGTTCTAAAGACTTGAATATTTTTACATTAATTTCATTGAAATGGGATCAACCACCACCTAATTGATTCAAACTCAACATGGACCAAACCTATTAAGCAAAAATGGTCCTTTATATATGGGGTTAGGTTTAAAGTAGTTAGATTTAATAAGTATATTCATAAGCAATTTTAGTCTTCTAGTTAGTTATTACAAGTAAGCACTTTTGATTAATTTCTATAAAATTGAATAAACTCTATCTATTTGATTTGAGGGGGACTGTGAAAAAAGAATTTAAGATTTTTCATAAAAATCGCAACACAAAATATTGTACTAGATATCAAAAGTAGAACAAAAATAGTAGAAACTATAAAAATTGTACCTCTAAATGTGAGTTCTCACTAAAAATTTTCCGTAGTTTCCATAAAATTGAAACAGACATAATTTATTAAATATTTGACGAATATTAAAAATGCTCACTTTTAACAAATTTACTAGATCAAAACTGCTTAGAAATATATTTAAGAATGTATATATATTTACTAGTCCATTTTGTTACTTTCTAGAACCTACAACAACAAAAATAATATTGAAAGGATGTATATAGGTAAAACTTTATTTGATAAGAGATGACACTCAACAATAATAACATAGTGAGTGAAATTCCGAACGTGAGATTTAAAAAGAGTAGAACATATACAGATCTTATCATTACCTCGTGGATGGTACTCTTATTGCTAATGATTGCAAGTTATTAATTAATTGTCTGAAATTGTTGTATATATACATGAACCACAACTTTAGAGAAAGCAAATTAAATCAGCTCAGAGTTGTTTTTACTAATCATGAAAATACTTTAAATAGCTTACAATGCTACCATTGGTTAAAATATTAATAATATCTTCTATTAAACACAAAAAAGAGTAAATATGGTAAATGAGTTAAATAGACCATAAATAAAGTTGAGAAAAATATTTATATATAATTTAAACAAATATTATGAAATTCGCCGGTACAATCCGGGTCTTGGGAAGGCAAGGGGGCAAAATGGTGGAGATAAAGGAGCAGGAGATAATTAGCGTGAAATGTCACTTATTATAAGTTATATTAACACACTTAGTATTTTTTATTTTTTATTAAGATAGTCATTTATTTATTTATTAGATTTTTTTTTTCCTTGAATGAAATACTTGTTGGGTTTTAAAGGTGTGAACAGGAAATGAAGGGTTGTGACTCTCCTGAAGAGTTGTGAACTTTATGAAAGGTTGTGTCCTTTCTAAAGGGTTGTGACCGCTTGAAATGTTATGCCTTTTCCAAAGTGTTGTCTTCTTTCTGAAAGGTTGTCTTCTTTCCAAAGGGTTGTGACCTTGACCCTTTGTTGGCTATAAATAGAGAGGTTTTCTCTCATTTTTCGACATCGAATTCTTCCCTTCTTTTGCATACATTTCTTACAAAACAAAATCGATCGATCGTGTCTGTGTGTGTGATTCGTTGCTGTCATTTTGAGTTCGTTGAAATTATCGAAGTTTGAGGTACCACTACTTCTTTAATGGTTAATCCGTTTTATCTTGGGAGGAATTAATCTGCAACCTCGGGTACTTGAGGGGATTAAATTTCTTAAGGACACACAGTGGTTTCTGTAGACTCGGATAGTTTTTTGTGTTTTTCTTTTCATCTTTTATTATTTCTGGTTTGCTAATCTGAATACAGGAGATAACAATACTTTGATTAATCAACATAAGAAAATTGAAAGTATTTCAAAAGAAATATTTTTCTCCCTAACAAACACACCATTCATTGACATTAATTTAATAGTATCTTTTTTTTTTCTTTGTCGTAAAATGTCTGCAGTTGAAATTTGGGGAAATACTTTTTATTTTCTTCTAGATCTTTATTATTATTATTATTATATTATGGGAGACCAGAAATTTAATAATAGAAGGTGACTTTATTTCTTTGGTCAGTTGTCAATGAGTCAATACATAGGATATAGATATATATATATGGACTTTGAATTATGGCCAACCAGATTGTGCAGTAAACTAAAGTGGAAAAATTCACCATATAGCAAATATATATAGGCTTTAAATGGATTTGATGTTTTGAAAATGATCATAAAAAGGGTAGAGGCGAATTCAGAATTTAAAGACTTTGAATGTATTAATATTACCTTAGCTCAAATATGAGCTTTAAGTTAAACTTAAAATAAAAATAATGAAAATAGGGGTCTAGCTTGATTCGAACTCAAGTCTCGCAGGCGGTACCTTTGACACATGTACCAGTAGCACAACATCATGCTTATACTCATCATGGATGCACTGTTAATTATATTCTAATTTCTGTCACTTTCTCAAGATAGATATACACATAATTTTTTCTGAAGTTAACGGATGCACGTGCACCCACACCTTTATAGGGTGAGTCCGCGTCTGTACATGAATGATAGTGATTATATAGTGAGGGAAAATAAACAACTGATTGTTGAGGTATGTTTAATATATAGATGGTGATAGTTTAAGTAGCAAAAAAAAAAAGAATAACGGATAGTTATATATATGAATAGCTCACGAAAATAATAATAATTTATGTATGTTTTTAACCATATTTGAATCTGATTAAATTTCTTAGCCCATTTAATAAACGGCCCCAGCACTCTATTTTTTTTAAAAAGAGTCTAATTAAATTACTAAAATTCTGTCGAACCCATAATTGTTATAATTTTGATTTTGCCCTTGAAGGTTACATCTTACAAAGTAAAACTACGTCCTATGAGCTACGTTTACATGTGTTTGAAGAGTTGTGGAAAGTTGATTATAGTGGACATGAGGAGATGTATTAAAGAGAAAGTTGATTATGTACTTTACTTGAGCCAAGAGTCTATAAAACACAATATTTTTATCAACTTAAAGTAGGAATAAAATTACGCACACGAATAGACACTACTATTTTTAGATTCAATTCATAAAATTATATAAATATATATGTTATTATTGGTATAATATTTTCCATCAAAAGAGAAAATGACTTCCTTCGTACTGTACACATCATTAGAGTTGTACACGTAGGCCCTAGCCCAAATAATTGACTCTAGAATATGTCAATTGTATTATGTTTGTTAATTAAAGGTCAATTAATTACACTAACTTCACACTGCAATTGTCAATCTAGTACTAAAAAGAACAAATTTGGGACTTTAGGTCCCTGCGTCCACATTATATATATATATAAGTTGAATAATCTATTCCAATCATTTCCAATTAAATCTAAGGGAAAAAGGGCAAAAATACTTTGAATTTTTCAAATTAGGTTAATGAAGTGGATATTTTTAGCCAAAATATTAATATTTGGGCGTAATATTGAGTGTGCGAATAAAATTTAATATTGTAACTAGAACAAAATTGCATATAACCAACGCTAAATTCATGTTGGATAAGACGAGTATGAAGATGATGGACTAATGATGACACACCTTTACTTGTGTAAGGGCTGATTTACTACGTCAGCCTCATATGGATGAACAATATAATTAATCTTCAAAAAAACTCATAAGATGATGAATTATATAGAATTAGTTCGTGATGAGTTATGTGGTACTTAGTTTTAAGGTGGGGGGGGGGGGGAGAGAGAG